ATGGAATTTTGCTGTTTATTTTGGGAAAAGCTTTCAGAACCTGTTATCTACAGCCAGGCTTTTGAACAGTGCTGTGGTCAGTGCCTTCAAGGGGACACATCACTGACAGCCCTGGCTGTCCCATGGGCTGCATGGGGCCACTTTCCCTTCTGCCTCTGCTCCCAGCCCCTCTGATTTTATGGAGTCATAGAATGGTTTGGGTTGGAAAGAATCTTAAAGCCCATCCAGTGCCACCCCCTGCCATGGGCAGGGACACCTTCCACCAGCCCAGGTTGCTCCAAGTCCCGTCCAACCTGACCTTGGACACCTCCAGGGATGGGGCAGCCACAGCTTCTCTGGGCAACCTGGGCCAGGGCCTCCCCACCCTCCAGACAGTGTTGGGTTGGCAGGAAGGGGCAGCTCTTACCTTTGGGGGGCTCTGAGCCTCCAATGAGGACCCGAGGGACCTCTGGGCAGTCTCCCTTGGTCACATCACATGTGGATGGGTGAGGGAAAGCCCTGGCTGCCCACCCACATCTGAGCCACCCCCAGGCTCTCCTGAAGAAGGGCTGTGATTGTGCCCTCAGCTCCTGGCACAGAAGGGCTGCAGGTTGGGGTGATTCCTGACACCAACGAGTGACTTTGCATGAGGGAAAAAGCACCTCCGAGTGTCCAAGGAGGTCTTTGGCAGGTTCTGCCAGACTTCCATGAGGCCTGGAATGCTGGGGGGCTGCAGACCCTTCCCCTGGATTACTGGGGCTAATGTGCTGAGCTGCCAATTGCTCCCCTGACGTCAATGCCCAGCAGAAAGCCCGAGATGTTAATGGGATATTTGGTCAATAAAGAATTAAAGGATTGGAGCCAAATTAAATTATGGCAATCAGCAAGGCCTGCAGGAAACAGCTCCTGTCAAACAAACCCGATTTTCTTTCCTGGTGAGTGAAGGGTTTAGTTAATCAATGTGATCCATGTCTGTGAGCACAGAGCTGTCAGAGACAGGGGCCTCTGCCCTGCTCAGGTGAGGGGCTGGCACAGCACACCTGGGAATACCAGCAGGACTGGGGGGTTCAGAGACCTCAAAATGAAGCTGTCAGGGACCATCCTAGAACCACAGAATCCCACACTGGTTTGGGTTGGGAGGGACCTTAAAGCCCATCCAGTGCCACCCCCTGCCATGGGCAGGGACACCTTCCACTAGCCCAGGTTGCCACAAGCCCCGTCCAACCTGGCCTTGATGACCAGCCCAGACAGGAATGTGCTGCATGAGCTGCCTCCAGCAGAATTAAAAGGCCTTTTTTGTGTTTTCCTGGAGCAATGCTGGGGCAGTTTCATCCCTGGCTCTGCTGTACCAGTGGCTGGAAGCCTCTCCTGGCTCTTATTCCAAGGATCATGCCATGGAATGGGCTGTTTGTGCCTCCAGCAGACCCTCCCCAAGGCCCAGGCAGTGTAAAGCCAAAATGTGCAAATTCAGCATAGAAAAAAAATGCAAATTTGGAACAGCAGGAAAATTCTGTCAACTGTTTTTTTAGATGTCATGGAAGGTGCAGCAGAAAGTTGGATAAACACCACAAAGACAGGAAAAAACGTGTCTGAGATGAAGACAGACAGATTCAAACCAGTTTTGAATTGGAATGCATTTCACTGAGTTTTATTTTTAAATTAACGTGGAAGTGAGGACTAAACATGGCATTTTGGGGGTGATTCATCTGAACACAGTGTTGGTCTGTGATTGGAGCCAGTCCTGAGATCACCTTCATAGCCACGGACACAAACAGTGATTTTAGGGCAGAATTCAGAGAATCATAGAATGGTTTGGGTTGGAAGTGACTTTGAAGTTTATCCAGTCCCACCCCTGCCATGGGCAGGGACAGGTTCCGCTATCCCAGGTTGCTCCAAGCCCCGTCCCACCTGGCCTGGGTCACTTCCAGGGATGGGGAGCCACAGCTGTAACAGGATCTGTGCATGGACACAAATGTAGCTGGACCCCCTAAATTATCACAGGGATGTTCATGGCACTGGGAACATCTCTGGACTCAAAGGTGGGTTCTTGCCTCTCTGTATCACCTGGAAAGGAGGAAGGGAAAGAGGACCTGCCGTGTGCCCCTTCTCCCAGTCCCAAATAACTCTCCTCACAGAGTAGGGTCTCGTTACAGCCCAGGAGTCCTCCATCCTCTCTGCTCCTGCTCACCATGGGCATTCCCTGGAATGCCTCTGGCGCTGCCTCAGCCCCGGTGAACACGCCTGGCAGACCAGGGGCCCCGCGTCAGGCACGAGCCTTGCCGGGCAGGAGCATCCTGAGCAGGGCCCGGCGGACGGGCCTGGTCCTCACGCTGTACACGAGGGGGTTCAGGGCGGCGGGCAGGGCCAGGTACAGGTCTGCCAGCAGGACCCGCGCGGGCGCGGGCACGGCGCTGCCCAAGTGCTGGGCGTAGACGGACACGATGCCGGGCAGGTAGAAGAGCAGCACCACGCACAGGTGGCACCCGCACGTGCTCAGGGCCCTGCGGTGCGCCCCGTGCCCCGGCACGGCCCGCAGGATGCGGCCGTAGGACGCGGCGATGCAGGCCCCGTCCGCGCCCACGGTGAGGGAGGAGGCGGCCACGCTGTAGAGCCCGGCGGGCGCGGGGTCGGCGCAGGCCAGCCCGGCCACGGCCTGGTGCTCGCAGTACGAGTGGGGCACCACGCGCGGGCCGCAGTAGGGCAGGGACGTCACCAGCCCCGTCAGGGGCACCATGAAGAGGAGAGCCCTGAGCACGACGGCCAGGCCCATCTGGGCCACGGCCCGGGCGCTCAGGATGCTGTGGTACCTGAGGGGGTGACAGACGGCCACGTAGCGGTCGACGGCCATGGCCAGGAGCAATCCCGACTCCTCCGACGTCGCGGAGTGGACGAGGAACATCTGGACGAAGCAGGCCACGTAGCCGATCTCGGCGGAGTTCAGCCACAGCACGCTCAGCAGCTTGGGGACCACGGCCGTCACCATGAGCACGTCGACGGCCGCCAGCATGGCCAGGAGCCGGTGGCAGGGGGCACGCAGGGACTTGTCCAGCCCAGTGACCAGCAACACCGCCCCGTTTCCTACCAGGGCCATGACATAGGCCGAGCAGAAAAGGACACCCAGGCAGGTGGGGAAAGCTTCCAGGCCAGGGACACCCACCAGGGTGAAGGAGGAGGAGCTGCTGTTGGAGGGATCAGAAGCCATGAGGGAGAATCTTGATTTGTGTTTAAAAGCAGACACCGAGTTTTCGGCCCTGCGGTGTCAGGGGGATAAGGTGGAGACTCTGCAGCAGTGCAAGAGCCAAATCAGGAATGCACATTGTTGTTACAACGGGTGAGACAGCGTAACATCACCTTTTCCTGCTGGAAAGGGTGGTGAGGCCTTGGCAGGGGCTGCCCAGGGAGGTTTGGAGTGCCCAGCCCTGGAGGTGTCCCAGGAAGGCCTGGCCGTGGCACTCAGTGCTCTGGGCTGGGGGACAAGGTGGGCATCAGTCATGGGTTGGGCTCCATGACCTCGAAGGTCTTTTC